GAGCAACCTGTACTCCCTGGGGAATCGAATGGGGACCGTTACAATCGTGTCCGCCAACTTGCTGCTGCACGCATCAAGGATCCTGCTGTGAAGAGTGTTTACAGTGACCGTGCCAAGGCAGTCAACAAGGACAGGAAGATGAATTCTTATCTGAATCACAATGAGCAAGGTTTGCTGCGCAGATTGTCCTCTGGAAATCAGATGGATAAGTGTTCCATCGGCCCATGGGGCATTGGTGATCAGGACTATCCAATTTCATTGGATAATTTGAAAGACAAGGTATCCCAACGTCGATTTGTCCACGAAGCTCATTCAAAGTTTTGCAAATCCTATGGAGGTCTGGTAGATGATGCATCCTCATTGGAATCCAACCATGTGCTATTGGAAAAATTTTGCTCGAAGCTTGGAGGATGCTACCATGCCTTGGATAGAGATCAAAAACACAATGTATTGAAAGTGATCGATGTATGCAAAAATCTGGCTCGGTTACACCGTGGCCGGAGCGCACAGGATCCAGCTTTTCTCCTTCTGCTTGTAAAGCCTCGAGATGATCTAACAGCAGCAGGAGCAGCATCAGCGCTTTCTGATGCAAATTTGATGGAGCAGTATGATTCAATCAAGGCCTATTTCATTTGCCAAGTCATGTTGAATCCACTGCAGCTTTGTCTTTGGCAGTGTCGGCTCATGCCTGCTGGTGGTGCAAATTGTTGTGAAGCGGTTTGGTGTCCCAAAGAGTTCACTGCAATGTTGGATTGCTCTGTGGTGGCCGATGCAACATCTGATTGTTCCCAGATGATGCCCAAGATCAAATCAATGTTCCAAGTGGCTTATGAGTTCAAAGACACCGGCTTTGAGGGATACAACCTCAGAGTCATCAAACACTATGATGTGGTGGATTTGTGTTCTATACATGTCGCAAATGCGGATGAACTGTTCACATCAGTACCAGCACCGGGATCCAATGCAGAGCCATTTGATCAGGATGCAGATCCAAACCCTACAACCGATGGAGATGATGTTCCAGAGATTGAACACAACGGAACAAATGATGACGCAGTGGAACATTGCATATCACTTTTGAAGGCTAGTTCCATGCCAGATGCTGGAAAGAAGAAACGGAATACATCCAACACTCAGAAAACAAAGCCTCCCTCCGATCAGCCACGCTTGCGGAAAACTGCTGCTACTACCAAACAACTTCAATCGTCATGCAAGATGAAAACAACTTCTACCACACCAGGAGCTATTGTTGATATGTTTTTATTTGTTTTGAAGGGCTAAATTTTGCAAATACAATACAATAATAATAGACAATAAAAAATGTACTATCCATACAAATGCAGTAATCTACAATATAATATAGTATATATTTTATAATATATAAATAATTAAACTTCAAGTACAACAACTGCATTATATACATACATACTACAGACTAGTGTTGTAAATGTATTATGATTCTATTATTGTTTTAATTAGCTTAGTATGAGTATGTGTGTTGTGTTTGTGGAGTGTGGATTCAGTAGATTTCTTTTTTTGTTCCAGGAGAGCCACATCAACCACCTTCTGAGATAGAGATCAATTGGGAGTTTGCAGTCAATGTGGAGAATCCACAACCGACAGCAGCATTGGCATCTTCGAGTGCATCTTCGAGCTCTACAGCAGCACCATCAGCAAACAATGAGACAATGCAGCCTCGACCAAGCCCGGGAATCCATGTGGACGCCAACGGCTATGTTCAGGACACAGTGAATGACAAGTGGATAGGAAGCTAAGTTATTTTTTATAAAATATTGTTTTGTTAGTATATAATTGTATTGTATGTTTCATACTGAACTATTCTGGAAATACAGTATGTAGTATTCTTTTAGACCTTTAGATTCACTAAGGAAGGCTCACACAGTTGCATATGAACACTGCAAAGCATGCGTTGAGTGCTACCTGCTATTTGCACAGCAAGTGCTCTATGATCAAACGATTGAAGCAGCTTCCCTCCCATGATCCAGATGCAAAAATGCTCAAATGGTTGACCATGGGTGATCAATTCACCAAGCGTGCTGATGGACAAGCACATATGAGAGCGTACCTCGGTTTATAGTTTTGTTTTTATTATGTATATGAATATGATTTGAATCAGTATATTTTCTATGGCCACACTTTCCAATATGTATATATTGCCAATATCAATCATATCAATATGTACAGCATCAAATTTTCGAGAGACAATGGTCATGAGTCATGAGCCATGAGTTACAATAATGAATTTGCCAAAACAACTGAGGTGGTATGGCGGTATGGCCTAGATTCTATGATGATTCTGGATCAATGGCCAGCAAACCATTCATGTCCATGCACCTCAAGGACTTGATGATTCAGACTCAGGATTCTATCCATGACGAGGCTGAGCTGTAGACCTTGCTTGCAAAAGAAGACATAATTCAGAATTAAGAAATTCAGAATTCAGCGATTGTTTAGACAGATCATGAAATCTGACCGCAAGATCTGTATTTTGTTTTCACTGTTGGTCAACCAGTAGTTTTTTAGTTGTGATTCTCAGACGCGCGCAGCTTTCGATCAAAAACGATCAAACAAACAAAGAAAAACAAATATAAACACTACTGCAGTTGGCGATGTGATTCAGTGATGCATTTTAATCTTGTAGAAGTTATTGCAAATGCTGTGTCAGCTTGCAGTTTTTTGAATCATGATTCATGATTCATGTTACAGTTGTGCATGCACCTGGACATCACATATGCCGGCATGTGTTCTGTCATATGGGCCTTATATAATTACATATGTTATATATATGTTATATATATATGTTGGTACAAATGCATATACATGCGCGCACACACCAATAAGATCTTAATATATGAAATTAAGATCTTAACGATATTAGTACATATGTGGCTTCATATGTGATTGCATATACTACACATATACGGATCATATATCATATATATGTCAAACATATGTATGTATATATGTTTACATATGTATGTATTTATGTAATATATATGTATATATGTGTTTAAGATCTTATTATATGTATTTAAGATCTTAAACTCATATAATATATGTAAATAAGATCTTATTGACATATCTGCATTTGTGTTTCATAAGTGATTGCATTTGTTGCACATATGACAATACATATGTGTGTATTATGCTTTGCATATGTGAATATATGTTTTATATATGTCTATATATATGCTTATACATATGACATATTATTTTTAAGATATTATTTTCATATATTAAGATCTTATTCGTTTTAGTGCATATGTTGACACATTTCCTATACATATGTTCAAACATATATGTTACATATATATCACATATGTGTTCGTATCTATAGACATAGGTGTAGACATGTGTGACATATTGATAACTGTTGGATACTTATATTGTAGTTTGTGTTTGAGTGATTGAAATGCATATTGTTTATACTGCTGTACGTCGATGCGCAAGATCACATTGTTGATTTGATGATTCTGGTGTTCCGAAGCATTTGTTGCAATCAGTCTCCGCACGACTAGCTAACTTATATAAAACAAACAACTATCTAAGCCTGTATCCATTGTATGTGTTGTTTGTTTTCAACAAATATTGTAATGATAACTAACACAGTTATATTATATTTGTATATGGTTTGTTTATGTTGTTGCATAGTTGCATCCACACCACATTGGCTGGTGAGTGCTGACCATGGCTCCGAAGAAATCTTCACAAGCGGGATGTGGAGATAACGAGAGTGAAGTTGCTTCTCAATGTGGTCGGACCGATCGCAAACATAGACCCGAGATTCCAGATGATGTGGCCATCGCAACCTTTGACCTGCCAAATACCTACAGAATCAAGTACTGCAGACTTTGTGATAACTCATCCATTAGTCTCGCGGAGTTGTTAGAGCAGACTGCTGGTTGGGGCGAGCTCATACCTTGGGGGAATGGTACTCGCAATGCTCCCACTGGTGTGTATTGCAGGAGTGTATGTGGTTATTGTTATTGTTTTAAGTTTTAAGGTTTATTAGTTTAAGTTTTTTCACAATGATAATTTTGTTATGACTATCAGGCTATATCAGTCGGCTTTGAGACTTGTGATGACTTGTTATGTTATGTGATGTGCAGGATTTGCAAGTACGTCTATGTCCATGGTGGCTTCAGTGTGATTCATGCCACTATTCAGCTATACACAGCAGCTATCCAGCAGTCACCTTCGCTTCACCACGAGTTTCTCAGCAGCAGAGCCAAATACATCAAGCTCAAGAATGAGAATCCAAGTTTAGTCCTTAGGGGCAAGAATGACCTGATGCCAGCTCGTGTGGTTAACCTTCGCCAAACACAGGACCTTTGATGTAGAAATACATATTGTTTTTCTTGCAATGACTTATATCATGACTCATGACTCATGACTAGTGAATAAACTTATATTATATGATACAAGACTCATGACTGGTCTTGTTGTTGTTGTTTTAAAGCTATGTGATGTTGATAAAATCAAAAAATATAAATACTAGTTCATATGAACCATTTGTAATTAAACATGACTATAGTAATAATAACTGAAAAACTGAAATGTTTATGCAAAAAACACACATTAATGAATGTTTTTTGATGTGCAGGATGATGAAATGGAGGGTGAGCAGGAGTTCTTCATGCGATTGGATAAATACACTGAGAAGTTTGGTGCTCCTTCCAGAGACAAAATTGTCTCTTGGTATGAGTTCATTATTTCTATATATATTTGATATAAATATTTATATATTATATAAATTATATATAGATATTATAAAGAGATGATACAAACACTATGTTGACGACTATAATCTATAGTAATATTATATTGGATTGTAATTTATACTGTACTATATATTATCTATGTCACATGACTATATCTATATTTAGTAAGTTATTTGTAATAGTATCGAATCATATATACATTGTATATCACCCTAACTTGACTTGACTAAGGTCAAGAAGACATTCCGAGGCCGCACAATGGAGGGCGTTATGATCATTCGTGAGGAGGACATTGGCTTGTACAAATGTACCAAACGGCAACGCAACAGTGTGGAGATGGCTACCAGTATGACAGATGCTCTAGAACTCAGAGAAGGCCAGGCAGAAGATATGTACAACGCTGCTTTCAAGGCACTATTGGCATCATCGAACGATGCTCCTCAGGACTTTGTTTTGACAACCTTTGTTGGTGATGTTGATGGAGCGCCATCATCAGGTTGCTTGTAATTAGCAAAGTCAATTTATATATATGATGTGTTGTTTTTATTATGTGTATATGATTATGTTTTTTGAATAATATCGCAAACAATATATATAACAGAAAATACATATATATTATATATTATATATATTTAATGTTTACTATATATTAGTCTATTTTAAAACAACATATATAGTTATATAATAGTTATATGAGTTATATATATATGGTACTATACACATATCATAATATATAATTAGTACACTCAATACAGTTTGTGGCAAACTCAGGCAGCGCTGGGCGACCTATGTCTATGATCAAGAACGCACAGGGACCGAGTCCTGACGAATCTACCCGGGCAGATCATGTGCCTACCAATTCCAGGGCAGATGAGAAGGAACAAGATGATGAACATGAGGCAGACAATGACATGATGTCTGGACTTATGAAGGGCTTTGGCAGTCAACCACAACCAGCTGGTGCCAAGGCGAAAGCCAAGGCCAAGGCCAAAGCACGAGGATCTGCAGCACATACACAATCAGTGCCAGCTCAGAATGGTCAGAATCAAAGTGGTCATGTTCAAACACCTTCTACTGACAACGCCTCATCGACGACACCACAGTCTGTATCCATTGCCGCTGGTTTCATGTCTTCCAGTGCAGGTGAGAGCCGTCGCAAACGGACACAATCTACTGCCAGCGAAGCTTCTACATTTGTCATTCCAGAGATTCATACCACCAAGAAGGGAAGAGTATCAGCTGATACATTGCAGGACTGGAGTTGTTTAAAAAGGTAAGTTTATTATTTATCGGCTTTACCTTTAATGACTCGACTAATGACATGTGACATGTAACATATGTTACACTGTATGTCTTGGGTCTTGAGCCTTGAGGGTCTTTAGTTTTGACTATGTCTATATTGATATGAATCAAGACATGTAGCCACACCAACAAATATGCATTAATACTAATTAATCCATTAGATCATAAAACAACCATCATATAATATATATAAAGATAATGATAATGATTAGACTGTAATATTTACATAGTATGTTTTGAGTGTGTCAGGAACAAGATGAGCGTTTCATCGAGGATATGCAATCTCTCATGATTGACATCATGAATGCGCATTTGCTTCAAAACACTGATCCTGAGTTGGTGGCCTATGCAAAGGAGACCGGAGTTGCATGCAGAGATGTTGTGGCAAAATGTGCCACCAAACTTACACAGATGAAGAGGCGCAAGAATGCTAACAACGACCATCAACTGGAAAAGGTGAAGGAGATCAACAACACAGCATCCATTTTTGCTCGTTTGTTCACTGAATTGTCGGCCATCGCTCCAAAGGCTGGTGAGTTGGCTATGTTGATGAAAACTGTTTGCAATCCGCCTATTTCGTTCAAGGTCGGCAAATTCGCAAAGATCAAACTAGTGAAGGCTCAAATCATGGATGATCTCAAGTACAACCGTTATGATGACATCGCATCCACAGCTGTATCGGTGTATGATGACTTGGAAGCAGAAGATCATGCTTTCTACTCAAAGCATCTTGGTTTGATCATCGAACAAATCATTCAGAAGCTGTTCAGAACCATACCCACACATCAATGCAAGCTCAGCAGTCCGGGTGTGCAGAACATCAGGCAATTCATTACATCATTGCTCGATCGGAAGGATATGCCACTTCAGGAAATGCATCGGAAACAAATGAGCAACATCCTTATGGTCCTCAAACATGATGACAAAACCATTTTGCCCAGCGATGTTCTGGAATCAATCAAATCGATTTTGGAGTGCAGTGGAGAATCTCCGGATGAACGCATGTATCATACTGTACTGACCCTACCCCAGGGAGAGAATCTTCTGAATGAGTCCCAAGCCTTAGCAAAACGACGCATGGCCTCTGAATCTTCTCTACTGGAGTTGGGAGAGGTTTCCAAGGAGATCAATGATCTTGAGACAGCGGGTGAAAGCAACAATGTTGATGTTGAGAAGTTGGTGCTGTTGTGGACTCGTACCAACAAGCTTCAGAACGACCTCAAAGACAAACCAGAGATATCCAATGTATCTCAGTTGTTGGAGAAACTGGCTGGGCTAGGGGAGGCTGCGATCAACATCCATGTGGCTTCCGAGTTCACATCGTTCATCAACAGCCAAGTGGTCCACTCCAAGAACAATATGAAATGCTTGCAAATACCAGGTTGGAAGGTCCTTGCCCTGCGGCCACATCTGCCCAATCATGATGTGTTCAGGTGGGGTGTTTTCAAAACAATCTCTGTGGAGTAAGTTTTTATTGATATTATCCAGTTTGTTGTTGGAATTGTTCATTGATAGTTTTTTTGGTATTGACAGTTGATCGAGTCAATCAAATCATGTTTGCGACTATTTGGTGTCATGAGTCATTAACAAACATTTAATAAATACTTGTGTTCTCAAAGACTCAGAGTCACATAGCTTACTATGGTTTACTAGTTTGTTTGGTAAATATATTTGTGTTCTCAAAGACTCAGAGTCACATAGCTTACTATGGTTTACTAGTTTTTTGGTAAATATACTTATAACTTATAACTTATAACATATATTATTGTTATTGATATTGTAGTACATTATATTATATATTACACTATGCTAGAACTAAAACTATAAACAGTCACTGCTGAGCTAAACATAATTTGTATTATATCCGATGACTCCAGGCACCATGAGACTTTGCAGAGTTGTTGCAATGCTTTGGATGTTTCCAAGCAACGTGTCGATGGCGGTGATGACTCTACAAACTCCAATCTCAGTTTGAAGAAGTCACACAGTTTGATGGATGCCTGGACAAATACTCACAATCAGATCACCAATGTCTACAAGGACAATACCACTTTGATTGAAGCTTTATTCAATTTCAAAGAGCACTTCTTCCATGTGATGCAGAACGGTTTCAACGACAAGGCCCACACGCTGGAGGTGACACTTCAGGCTTCGCTTCACAAGAGCATGGATGAAGCTCCAGCCACTTCAGACCAAAGTTGGAACAGTATGCGCATCGCCCTGGACGACTACATGAGACTGTCCACTGCCGAAGTCTTTGATGCGGATCAGAAAGCTTCAATGTCCAAGGTTGCTTCAGCTGTTGATATCCTATACACACTCGCTTTTCAGAGTTACTTGTTCTGCAGTGCAATGAACACTTGCTTTTTGTTCGAACACTGGTGTGATTATGTAACTATGTAGTGGACTACATGGGCAAGTTGTTTTGTTTATATTATATTTGATTTAAGTTCAAGAATTGAAATACTTCAACACAACAGAGTCATAATGATAACTACTAAAAACAAACTATCTCAAAAACTGAGACTTGACTCGGACCAGGACTACGACTATGCAAACGAAAGAACATTCAATTATTAATAAATATAATTAGCAATATGCAAAATAGGTATGTGGAATGCAGTTTTAATAAACACAATTATATAATATGATATGATATGATAATTAAATATTTTTTTATGATGATATGATATGCACCATGCAGTGTGTGTGGTTGCTTCAATTGTGTTTTTGTTTGAGGCTTGAAGTTCAAAGAGAACGAAGAGTGCATGAAGATTTCTACCAAGCCCTCCAAGGAAACTTCAGATGCTCTCACAGCCTTGGCCAATTTGAAATCAGCTCTGGAGAAGGCCAAAGCTCATGACCACCTTGTCAAGTCATTGGAAGAAATTGGAGTTTGTCGCGATATCCCGGCCACAATTGACCAAGTGGAGTCATCGTATCATTTGTGGGTTGGGCAGTTGCAGAAGAAAATCCAAGACTATGCCAACAACATGGTCAAGAGTTTGAAGGGGTTGAAGCTGCCACAGTATGATGCAACCATGTCCGCTGCTGATGCTTCCAAGGAGATGCTGAAGTGTCAATGTTTGCCATCCGCTACCGATCTGATTGCCAAACTCAAGAGCTTTGTTGCGGCAGCCAAAACAACCGGTGACATGGCTACAGTCTCCATTGATCTTGCAGATGCACAATCAACTTTGGCAGATGGCAAGAACTTTGTCTACACGTACACTTTGCTGACAATTCTGCAATCGCAAACTTGGAAAAGTGTGACTCCAGAATCTGCAAAGAAGAGTGAGAGCCGTTTTGCTGAGATTGTCAAGAACTTGCAATACACCTTGAATACAGCATCCAGTGAGGGCGTGGTGTTCCCAGGAGAACTACAGTCACAAGCTTCCGACAAACTCAAGCAGGCAGGTGTGTCGGTCTGACAGACCAAACTGACATGCTACCTTGGAAGCGGGTCGTTGTGACCAGGCTCATATCGACTCATGACTGTGCAGTGTTGTCTGTCATATGCAGCAGTATGCCATATGACTCTGACTCCTCGTGATTTTTCAATCATCGCCTGCGAACTAAACTAATTCAGGTTTGGTGTGACTGTGTGACTACCATTTCAGCCAAATCTGTAGACTATGGATGTCTGGACTATGGATGTTTGGATGGTGTGTATGCAACTGCTGCTACTACTTGGTGGGTATCCGGTATCATTGTATCATCATAGAATCATTTCATATATCAGCCACATAGTATTTATAGATTTGTTGTTTGATTGATAGTAATATATATATGATATATGATATATGATTCAGGCTTCATGACTCATGACTCGACTCATGGTTTATGTTTTCATGAGATATATTGTAACTAAGTCTTCTATTCAAGATGCATGTGTAGCAGCGGTAGCAGTAGCGGCGCACGATGTCATTTGACTATACACTACTGCCTACTGCTGTACTTTAGAAATCAAGTCAGTTCTGCACAGGTCACTAAACTAAACTATGTTACTTAAATTAATTGTATACATGGTTGCCAGGCGAGAAACATAACCTAACACTTCACTTCACTACAGCGACTCGAGTGACCTGTGGAGCGGCGCGGAGACATTTTTGTTTGGGGGGTGCAGTGGCTTATGTCAATGTCATGGCCATGCCCCCCTCAGCTCGACTTATTTGAATTTTGATTCCTGCAGTTTTTGTTCCACACCATGGAACCACACTATCACAATGGTAGATGTTGATGTCACTGCTACAAGATAATGACTCTCTGTATCATGTATGATTGTTCATTACCATGACTCGAATCGTGACTCATTAATCATGAATCATGAAGTTTTGAATGACTCATGACTCATGAATCATGAATCAACTCTCACTTAATTGTTGATATAGTTATTCTATATTCCAGCTGTTGTGATGTAGTGAGTGTGGTGTGGATATCTGGATAATTTGGATAACACACTTGACACAATTAAACACTTCCGGGGAACTCAGAAGTGAAATTGACCACATATTATTCGAATCATTCATTGGTTTGTTTTATTTGTTATTGTCATTGTCCATTGTCTATTTGTTTGTGTTACATTCACTTGATGGAACTGATCTGCAAGTGCAAGTGTGTATTTATACACCGGACCAGAGTGGGCAAGGATCCTGAGATACCGTTGTGTAAAGTCTGTTCACTTCGGGATGTGCTATGTAAGGCTATGGACCTTTGGGAAAGCCACATGGCCACACTGAGAAACAGTCAGTGTGTGTGTGCAACGCAGTTGGGTAGATAGATTCCATATGTCTATTTGTATAGCCGGCGAACCTGAAGTTTACACAGACTGCACAAACAAATTGGAAAACATGCTGATTTTTGTTCACAGCAGCCTGAATGCTGAGATGCACTGTCTAAGTGTCTGTATGCGATTGAATGACTCAGATTCATAACTCTTTTTTGTACAGTGAACATGATTCAATGATTATGTAAGGAATGAATGAATCAACATATCATTCATATGAAGTGAATATGAATCATGTGACCATGTGAAAACTGAATCAACGACTCGACACTCCTGGCTTCTAGTGTCAAATGTATTTTGTTGAATGACTGTAGAGACAGAGACATGAAATAAGAATGATATATATTATTATATATTTGATATCTTTTATATACAATTAACCTAACTACTAACAACAACATTCCATATATATATAGTTTCTGGACAACTGGCAAGAAGGGGCAAGCAAGAACGACTCAGATGTAGTGATGTAGCCTATCAGTATCAGGCTTATTGATCTCTTAGATACAAACAAACATGAATAGCACAAAGCAAACAAAAAACACACACACACAACACTTGTTTGATAACTTTGATAACTCAATAGGTAGCCGGATCTGTGGGGGACCAATGCCGGCGAGGAAACGAGAGCTCTCAAGTGATCCAGCTGCCAAAAAGGCGGCATCAAAGGCAAAGGCTGTTGCAGCCAAGAAGTCTTTGCCCTGCCCGGGCAAAGCGAAAGCCAAGGCCAAGGCTACAACACCTCCGTCAGTGCCCAAGGCAAAGACAAAAGCCAAGGCAAAGAGCAATGATGGAAGCGATAGCCTTCCCAGTCAGGTGAGCCACAGAAATCCTTTTGATGACTCTCCTCCACCGGGACAACGGTCGTTGTTCGATCTTCAGGGCATCGCCATCGGGAAACGGTCTACTCCGCCTTCATCTGAGACTACATCAGTGCCAAAGGCAAGATCCAATATTCAGAAGTACTTTCCAGCTTCAGTTCCGCCGCCCAAGTCTACAGCTTTGATGACTCCACCTCCCCCACCGAAGGCTATGATTGTGAGTCCTCCACCTCCAGTTCAGCGGGCAGAGCACAACGAGGATTGTGTGTTCAGTTGGTGACATTGTCAATGGTTGGTTGGATAGTTGATGTCAAGTTGTTTGTATTTTTGAATTCTAAAAAATTTACACTGTTCATCATTGGCATTAACATACATGTTTTCAATAAATAATTTTATATATTTTATGGATTCATGTCGAGGAGACTTCGGGTCGCCTAAGTTAGAAACAGAGTCACAGTCAGAGTCATTAATTCATTGAGTCCTTGAGTCACTCCAGTCTAGTCTAGTCGTAGTCTCTTCAAAACTTGAGATCCTGAATCATAATATCATATCGAATCATAGTTGTTGATTTATTGATTTACGATCACTATATTAATATATTACTAATTATTACTGTTTTCATGATCCATGATTCTTGTCAGGTGATGAGCACCAGCATTCAGCGACGTCTCTTCCGGTCATCACAATATGATCCAGAGTCAATGATGTCACCTTCTCCAAGGAGATCTTTGGAGGAATGTTTGGAGGACATGATGGATGGTGAAGGTTTGATGGTGGATATGCATCGATCTGAGTCTCAGCACATTGATGATGATGATGATGGTGATTATGAATACTATCATGCAAGCTCCGCATCAGCACCCTCAGCGTCAGCATCAGATGGACGACCATCATCGTTGTCATTATCATCAGCAGCAGCTCAAGTGACATCAACATCGGAGGGAAATGTACCATCAACAGTTCCAACAGCATCGGGGTCAGTATCTTCTCCTATGCCGCCTATGCCTATGCACTCGAAGGTTGATGGACCATTAGTGAGTTCCCTTGAAGAAGCCATCAATATTTGCAAACAGCACCGTTTGATCGAGCAGTTCAAGTCAACACGCACTCACAGACTGTGGAGGTTTGGTGACCTGATCAATAAGGACCTTGTGTTGACTGACCTGATGGAGTTCCATGAGTATACCCAGAAGATGGATGAACCTACACCTTTCTCCATCAAGAATCTCAGTGAATTGGAGCTGACATTGCCGTTACCCTTGGTCGAGTGTCCGGAGGACAAACATGGTGACATCAACACCACTGAGAATGAGAGTGCACACATTCCAGATGCTTCGGTTCCTTCTGAGACTATGACTCAGACTGTCAATGAGACTCAGCATGACTACCCTGATACTGACAGCAAGTCCCAACCAAAGGATCCGGGGCAGGGATTAGAAGCAGTAATCGAAACACAACTTCCAAACCAGAGTGATCTGGATGGTGAATCCCTGAGCCAGGGCATGGATTGTGATGATCCAGGTGATGGTCCTGGTGATGTGGGTGATCAAATGGATCAAATGGATGTCGAGAGTGCGGAGATGGTCGAACCACATACCAAGGCCGCTGAGGTGGATGCTGATGCTGCAAAGGGCTCGGATAGCATCCAAGATTCACTGCGCCGCTTCCTGAATCCAGATGATAGCATCGACATGAGCAATTTGCTCACCAATGCAGCTTCATTCTACATCAAGAAGGCGAGAGAAATATCCAGTCAGAGCATGTTGAGTCTTCCAAAGGGTGAGTTGACTTTGGCATCATTGTGTGCGGGCAGTGGTACTGGTGAGTTGGCATTTCATGCAACAGTGCATCAACTCAGTGAAGAGTTCCTCAAGCCTTTGGATGCCAAAGTCTTGTTCTGCTGCGAAAAGGTTCCATGGAAACAACAGTACTTGATGGCCAATATCGTTTCCAAGGACACATGTGTATTTGATGATGTGGTGACACTTGGGGCTTTGGCAGATCGGAAGTTTCCCTTGCCGCCACTTGATTGTACAGCCACCGATGCAGCAGTCGATACCACCAGTTCACATCCAAAGACCAAACAAAAGGTCAAAGATCACAAATTGAAAGCCATGCAATATTGTGTCCAACACAAGAGAGCATGTGACCCTCGTGGATCAGACATCTTCCTCCTCAAGAGTGGCTTCAGCTGCAAAGGCAACAGCCGAATGAACGTGCGTTTTTTCTGAATTCAGGGAGAGCTTCAAGAACGAAGACTTTTCAAACTGCAGTGTATCTACCTTCTTTGGCACTATGGGCACCATTGCAGCGACCAAGCCAAAGCTGGTGATCCTGGAGAATGTTGATTCCATTGGAAATGAGCATGTTCAAGATTCGAATTTGTGCAAGGTATGCGAGGAGATCAAAGCGGTTGATGAAGCCATGTACGATGTCAGAGTTTACAACCTCAACACAAATGACTACATCCTTCCACAAAGCAGGACCTTTCATTTTAGAGTCAATGAGTCATGCTATGCTGTTATATTGACTCAACTCAAACTCATATGACTCATATGATATTGCCATGGCCCCATGGCTGATTCTTGATTTATATGAATCAATTAATGGCGCGATCAAACATAATTTAACATGATTAGATTATGGTTCTTCAAAAGACTACACTCTGAACTATATCAATGGATTGATAGGACTCGGGAGTCATAAGATAAGGTTTATGATGCCTAGTCTATACGATCGTCTATCTATATATGAGTTAAGTTATTTATTTACTGATTCCACTATCCAGTTGTCCTGGTATCTTTACGGGAGGAAGCGCATCTACATCATCGCTGTGCGGCTGGATGGTGCGGTCACAAGCACAGATCCAGCACCCTTCTTTGATATGGTGGGACGCATGCTAGATGCCTTCAAGATCGGGTCGTTGAGTGTGAAGAGTGTATTGTTGGCCGATGACGATCCCTACCTGCTGGCAGAGTTGCAACGTCGAAAGCAACATCGACAAGATCAAGAGAGTCGCATCAAGAAGGGTGAGATTTCCAAGGAGTATTTTCTCAGTTTTGTGTATTTGTATGCATTGGTTTTTTTCCCTCTGCCACTGACATTCATCGACATTTGACATGTGTTTTTTTGTGATCGGCGATCGGTCATCGGCGGAGTCATCGGCCTCGACTCATCGGTGAGTGATCGGCGTTTGTGATCAGCAAAACGTGTTCACTTGTTTTGACTTGTCGCAGTCGCTTTCAGTATTTGGTTTCATTGACACATTCTCCCAGGGAAACACATATTTTTTATGTAACAAATTATGAGCCTATGAGTAAATCGATGCCACGCCAATCCAATCCCACACTGTCCACACTCTGTCCCCAGCAGCAGCAGTACAGCATCAGCCAAAAAATCTTACTAATTCAAGGTATTCGAGCAAAACAAATCTTCCAAATGAAATGATTTCGACCCAGGCTTGTGCTTAAGAATATCAGCTTGCAAATTAACTAATTAGTAATAACCACACATTCTGTGACGTTGTGCATACGATGAAGTGTTGTACTCATTCAATACTCATTGTGATTGTTGATCATTGCTCATTATGTTTAGGCTATAGGCTATAGGCTGTAGCTATAGCTATAGGCTAGACTAACATTAGCAGTAGCAGCAGCAAGAAAACAACAGAAACAAACGCAGCAACAGTACAACAAGAATTGTTGGGATTTGAGCATGTTTCAATAGTCACACTGCCACAAACTGTGTAGATACAACTACTACACAGCTCACGAAAATGAAAGAACACATGCCTTAGGAATCTGACAAAGTGAAACCAGGGTGACAAAAAAAAAAGAAAATACTCATGCAAAAACTAAACTCAAACTCAAAACATGACTCGACAACTCCAATCTGCTCGACAATTGATTCACTTATTGCCTATGTATAAGTTAGTTATGATTCCTATAGACTATGACTATGCATCATGACTCATGACCCATGACTCATGGCTCTGAGTATGACAATGACCCTGCCTATAACTCAACTAGACTCATAACTCATGACTCATGACTCATAACTCATAGGCATAGGTGGCATAGGTGGCATAGGGATAGGCTACATACATGTACTGTATAGGCTGTATATGCTGGCAATGAGCACTAAAGCTAAAGGTACGATCTAAATCCCGTCCGTTCAAGTCCCGACTCGACTGATGTTCACACACTTGCAAACTCAACTGATTCCATTCATTGTTTGACTGTGACTGTGACTATAGAAACTCACTAACTAAATGGACTCAGGCGCGATTGTGGATCAATGTATGACTTGACTCGACCGATTGAGTGACATGAATCAATAAATGAACCAAACAAAATAAATTGTGTTGACATGAAATGAAATAGATTTAAACATATAGACTGAACCGATCAATCAATCCAATGGATGAATGGGTGGATGGTTGAATGAACTAAACAATAAAAAAGAACATAACTTAACAAACAAAAGGCAATAGCATGAACATTAAAACCACATATAAACATAAGTGATACACACAAACAATAGAAAACTAGTACGACAGTAAGACAGTAAGACCCTAAGACTGAAATGAATTGATTATACATAAAATGAACATGATCAGTAGATGGTAATGAATGAATGGATGGATGTATGGATGGACGTATTGATTATTATGACTCATGACTCACGACTTGACTGAATTGAACGAGTGAAGGACTTGCAACTGATGTGAGATGTAAGTAAAAAGTAGTAGAGAAGTGTGCTGATGTGACGCTTGAAATTGAGAAACTGATCAGTGGATATTAGTCTGTGTCTATGTCGATTCATATTTGATGCGTGCGACTCTGACATTCAGAGCTCAATTCAGCGTGTTTTTTTCAGTTTTCCTGCACTGACTCGTCGACTGTGATTTCTTGTGCTGTGCTTTGAACATTAGTGCTTTAAACTCAGTGTCCAAGAACCCCACCCTCACTGGGGTGTGTGTATTCGTGCGTTGAGGACTCAAATTGGAGCATCGCACACATGGATGCTTGTGAGCAACTCGGGATTGCTTGGCCACCACCCGTGCCGGTGAGCCTTAGAGGCAATCCATGGCTGGCTGTGACGACTGAGAGGGAAAAGGAAGTTGTTGCCATCGCCCTGGAAATGAATGAGAAGACCATTTGGGTCGACTCTAGCCAGACAGTGGCAAGGGCCCGAAATAGTTTGAATGAATGTTGCCCCTGTGTATTGCCTGGCTGTCATTTGTTCCACTTTCCATCAAGACGTTTTCTATGTGGTCGAGACCTGATGAGGCTTCAAGGATACCCAGTGGAAACACTGCCAGGGGCATTCTCGAACAGCGATGTGCAGCTAGCTGACTTGGCTGGAAATAGTTTCAGCTCGACTGTGAGCGTAGCTGTGGACATGGCAGTCTTGCTGAACTTAGACTGTCCGGTCGAGGACGATTGTGCACATGAAGTTTGCCAACACATCGAGCTTCTGACCGGAAGTCATGACGATTCATTTGAACTCTGAATTTTGACTAGTAGATTAGTGCTTGTATGTTGCGGTTCACTGGAGTGACTCAAGGCCCGAAACTATGTGTTCATATATTATACTGACTATGACTATGACTATGGCTATATATAATATAATACAACTATAACTAAACGATTACAGGGTGTGACACTATTTGCTATGTATGTGACGTGACTTGGTTTACAACTCCATTCACAATGTTTTCTACCACAGCCATTACCGTTGTTCCGGCCACTGCAAAGAGCAGAGTCACAAGGGGTGAGCACAGATCGTGTGTCAGCAACTGCAACGGGCACAAGTGCGAATCGAGCTCAGTTACAGCAGGGGCGGCAGTGGTGAAAAAGAATAGTGGTTCCGAACGTCAGTGCGCCTGACACTCTTGTTTTTGGTTCAACTTTATCATTTATATCATTGAGAATCATTGATGATGTTGGAATCATGAAATCCAATTCAATTGAAACTGAGATGCAAACATTATGTGACAATATAACATATATGATATACATATGTTTTCATATATGATTAACATATGTTTCACATATGATGCACATATGTTTCACATATGTCACACATATGTCGTCTACATACGTATATGCATATGTATGGTCTGAATGTGGTGGGGGTGGGCTCTACAGAGCATAGCTCTTGAATTTTGATAATATATACATCTCCAATAAATCTGGTTGGGTGGAGAGTGGATTTTTGATGGCAGGAGGCTGTGGAGGTGGCCCTCAAGCACGAGGACTGGGTTCTTGCTGCATGCGTTTGGCACATTTGTGCTATTATGTTTATCTCCAAGCTTCGCACCAGTAACTCAGTAGCAGCAGTGGTTGTAGGAGGGGGAGATCTTCAAGCTGTGCTAGTGCCGTGCCAGCACGACCAGCAGGAGACGATACACAGTCGAAACTGCTATAGGAAGGGCATCTCAACTAGGCCATGATGAGTTTTCCATCATGAGAGTTCTCACCAGGTGGATGTAGATGGATTAATATATCCAAACCCTAGGGATCCAGTCGTACCTCCTCGAAAGGTACTTGGACCCTCCAAACCCACCCCAGTCCCACCTTCTCAGAGGGTACTTGGATCCTTAGGGAAAAGTATCCTCTGACTCACATTCCATGGAAGTTACCACCTCTTTGTCGTAGAGGATGTTAGCCATCCAACGGGTCATGTCCATCCATTTCCCACTTCCATCTTAGACTCCCCAAATATAGACAAGTAGATCCCCACCAAAAACGTAATGGAAACCGTGCCACGATCTACTTGGGGATCACTATATATGAAATCCAGATGCTTTGGCGGCCAGAAAACTCGCCCCCAGACTTGGGACGCTTGGAACAGCGTGACGCTTCTCGCATGCAGGACATCGCTTTGGCCAAGACCAGCGCGTGTAGACCTCCGGAGTGCGAGAAGCGGCGCCGGCAGAAGCTGTGGCTGAGGATCGTGGAGCATCAGGCGTTTTTTGGGGTACTTCATGGGCACCCCTTAACCGTTTTCCAGGCTGATTCGTTAGACACCGTTCCAAACCCGGGGCCCAGATGGCTTTTGAGCGGGGGAGGCTTAGCTCTAGGTGCGAGGCGCTCGGAGCCCCGGTCAGGCAGCGACCAGTGATGTGCAGAAGATCATTGGTCTCATCAAGGAGTCTCAGGAGCCGTTTTTCGTTCCTTTTGGCCCCGGGTTCGCTTTGCAAAACCCTCTTAGGCGTGTCCAAGAGGTAGAACCGTGAAAGACTTCTGTGGAAGAGACGAATCCCAGGGAGTTTAACAATAATCAGGTGAGTGATTCCCTCATATCGTTTGGCACTCTGATTGCTACAAGCCAGGTTTGTCCAGAAGTGACCGTCACCTTCGTTTCCCCGAACAATGGCCTGGACTGAACGAATTCCGTTTCTAGGAGCTTACGATCCGCGACGTCTTGCCGTACTTGTCGGATTCCATGACCATCGAAGCCTTCCAGTCCGAAATCTGTGAGTGCTTGGACGCCTATGAAGGCTCCAGAAGTGGCTATTTTTGTGGAATAGTTTCCAGTGGGAGTGGGACAATAAAACGGGCAGATGGTTTGGACATGTTTGTCTTCTTCTGAGTCACCCCAACTATATTCATATACTGTAAGTGTAAGACAGGGCTCGATTCAGTGGCGCAAGGAAGAACGCCATAGAAATGACAGTGGCCATCGAAGACATGAGGCAAATCATGAATCAGCCCAAGGGCCTTGCGGGATGAGCAGTGGGGAAGGATGAGCCATCGGTGTGCTCGTTTGGGCGAATTCAACAACAGATGCACAGATTGTATCTCTGATGACAGGAAGTCGCATGGAAGTGGATGGCATGGTCCTTCGTTCCTTCGTTCCTTTGTTAAACAGAGGGTGTGATGTTCGTCGGAGTGCAACATATGCCATCGCTCGGCGTCACGTGATACCAAGTGTCATAGGTGATTTTGGGAGATTTGGGCAAGTTTGGACCAACTGACTGCAGGGGATCCAGGCTGTGGCCGCCATGGCCCATGCACCTCCATGCACCTTAGAACTAGAACCAGAAAGCTTTGTGCTGGTGAAAGGGGCTCCTGGATTTGATCCACAGCCTTTGAAGACTCGACCATCCCTTGGACGCTGAGAGGCCAGATTGTGACGCTCCGCCAGGCGCCTGGCGGCGTTTGAACATCGCGGTTCGGGAACTCATCCTGCTTTGTTAAACAATTTTCTTCACAAACACCAGCCACCGGCCATTTGCCCATGCACTTCAGAGACCAAGATCAACTGAAGAAGAGCATTTGTTGCGAAGCACTGCGCGCTTATTGTTGTGCCATTCTGCGCTATTTGGTCAGAAACGGGTACGATCGGATCAAGCTGCTCCTGAACTGAACATGTGTCTCCCCTGTCTTTTGGTTTTGGATGGATTTTTCTCATAGATGACTTCCATTTTTGTCTTAGTGCACCACTATGTTGCTAGAAAGCTATTGCCCTGCACTCAGTCTAGTCCTAGTCTACTGGACTCGGGGAACACGGTCAGGAGATGGACGATCATCGCCGAGCCCTTTCAGCCTTCAAGGAAGACCTCAAGCGCGCGGACGAGCTCCTTGGGCTGTTGACCGGACGAGCGAAGCGGGGAGGGTGGCGCGGACGTTCTGCAAGACGAGCGGGGAAAACCATGCGGGCGTAACAAGCCGCTAGTTCGGCTCAGAAAGGATTGAGGGTTAGAGAGTTGGATCTTGAATTTCCTCCAACAGATCCACCTTGTTGGGTTCTTCCCAAGGTCTTTTTGAAGGGAACATCTACAGAAAACCCTCGCTTTTACTCCAAAACCAGAGGTTTCCTAGGTTTTGCATGGTTTTCCCTTCCAATTCTGGGACTTGGGGAATGTTGAACAAGATCCGCGCAGCCCAATTCAGGATGAGACGTTTGTTTTCTACCCTTTGGGTTTCCCCACACAGAGATTGGGCTGCAGCGAGTAAATTGCCCAGTAGTTGAGCACCATGTCAGAGATCCGTTCGAAACATCTCAATATACAGACGATGCAATCCTGCGTCATCCGGCCTCGTCCTCGTCCTTCACTGCATTTCACCCCGGCCGCCCTCACAGCCTCGAAAAAAAATGATCAGAAAGGCGCTGCATCGTGGTGGGGGCCGACCAATGCTGTGAGATCTGTGGCTGCGAAGCCATGCGAGAGCGCTTCTATGCCTTCACCTGTACTCACTGCTGCTACTGTGCTGCAGATGGGGAAGCCGCTGCATGGGTTGACAGGTGAATTGTCTCGGGGGCACCGCCTGCCATCTAAGGGGCCTCCCTGACCCTTCGGGGTCTCGTTAACTAACAAAGCCAAACAAAACTGTTGAGGTTGTTCCAAATCTGTGTAAAGATGGATGCGGATAGAGTCAGAGCGCACCTTTAGTTGACACATGTATATCTTTACAGTGGGCTCTCCAGACAAATGACATGTAAAAAGTAAAAGAGAACAAAGCTATAGAAAACCAGACGAAGGACATGTAAACAATAAAAAGAACACATCTATAGAAAAACAATCACGAGAATTCGGTATAACATCACAAACTATTAGGAACACTCCTTTGACACCTTCGTCATTGACACCGGTCGCCATCTCCGCTCTCCTCCGCGAACTCCGGCGCCACAGGTCATGAGGCCTGCCTTCGCCCCTCGGATCCGGTCGCGGCACGGGGCTCGTGGAGCCGTTCTTTGTGACGAAGGCATCACATGGAAGACGAGTCTCCTAGTGATTCTCCGCTTTTTGTTGGACAACAAGACCGACAAGACCTAGTCACTAGTGATTCTCCTAGTGATTCTCCTAGTCACTAGATCCTTTTGGATCTCAAGACGTAAATGGATCTCAAGACCCCTAGACGACCTCTAGACGACCTCTGGACCTGTGTAGATCGTGAGACGATCTCTTTGGTGCCCAAATTCTTGTGGTCGCAGCGTGACCGGGGCTTTGTTTCTTTGGGTGGAACGTGTGGGATCCGGCAACCAAGATGAGACATAGAAAAAAACATAGACCATAGCCATAGACCATCGACTCCAGGCGTTCCATGTAGGTCTACAATGATTCTTAGCTGCTAGATTGACCCCTAAAATCGCCCTCGAAGGATCTCCGAAGCAAGTATTCAGACATCTTCCACGCATGGAGTGTTCGGGGACCGGTAGAGTCACGGGCGAAGGCACTTCAAGGCTTTGAGTCGGAAATGGATTTGACTAGCACTTGAAGCAACTCACCTGTAGAAGGTGACTGGCTCACAGTGGAGCGCCTCAATGAGAATGTACCTTGGAGCTGCTACACAGCTGCTGACCAGCTGACCAGCTGCTGTGTTTGTCTTGTGCTTCCAGTCTAGTCCCTTTGTCCCCCAGGCCACCCATGGGACTACATTGACCACCACCGCAACTGATAGGTCAATAGGCCAGTCCCATGGAGGTCTGTAGGCATACGAGGTGCTCTATGATGGATCCCAGTGCTCTAGTCTATGTTCTTCCATCCATTTGCTCCATCTCTGTCAGACTTCGAGGTGCGCTGATCTTGCCCACCTTGTCGCCGGCTCGCCGAGAGCGCCTCTTCAAGTTAGAGGTGCTTCTCATCTGCGAAGCAAACCGCAGACAAAGCTCGGCAAGCTGCGCTTTTGTTAAAACAAACAGGTAAATATGATTGGTGAAACGCAGGATCAGATTCTGCCCAAAAAGTCTTGTACCATCTATGAAGGGTCCTGCAATTAGGTCATGTTGATGTTTGATGAATACAGTAACTAGGAAGATGCGTGTCGAGTCAATGGTCAACATTACATCTCCCCAGCAAAAACCGGGGCAAGCTGTTTGGGGCTCAGGGAGGGGACATGTTCGCCAAATAGCTTCAAATCACCAACATAGCATCTTCATACATCTTCCATGTAGTAACGGATCATCACTAAAGCCAGAACTTGGGCCGAAAGGAGGCATGGGGGGATTGCAACTCTGCCAATTCCACCAGGACCATCCATTGCGGAACAAACTCCCCCACGGTACTTTGAATGTACTGGATCTAGACTTCAATTGGACAGCAAGACCATAATTTACATCCCCAAACACTCCATGAAACTGGAAGATATATACGTATATATGCCGACATTGATCCCCAAACCACCCCGAATGCAGGAAAGTAGTGGTATGCATGGACATATGTCATGCCAGGACATTCAAAGTGACCTTTTGGTCACGACTTCTATAGTGCCTCAAGAGGCCACTTAGGGACTCCAAAGAGGTCACTTTGAAGGTCCTGGTGCATGGGAAAGTGTTTGGGATTCATTTACTCCTGACTGCCCAGACTTCCATCAGCCCCACGCCATTTCCTCCAGGACGCTCGCTTGCAGCACCAGGCCGCCGCAGCCGGCGCCAACGCGGCGCCTATGGTGCCTTTGGCAGAGGTTCCCATGGGTTGATGGGGCATGGACCCTTAGTTCTTTCTTGTTTGGGATTTCTTACTATTAAACATTATTAAACCATTTGTTTTGAACCAAGTACAGTAGAAGGACATAAGTACGGGCAAGCCTCGTGCCTCCATCTTTTTCCATGGCCAGATCTCTGACGAGGTGCCGCGACCGCTTCGGTCGCGGCAGGTCTCTGAAAGACCACCGACCAGAAGTGTCGACCTCTATCAGATCCACCGTGGTGGTCAAACAGACACCGGCAACGAAGGTGTTTAATAACCCACAGCTAAATCGCTTGTGCAAGCAGGCAGGCAAGCAGGCAAGCAAGAACCCCACCAAGGAAGCAAGAGAGCGAGCAAGAAAACCGGCAACCTACAGTAACAGCTGGTGTTCGACACCATTCCATGTGCAGGTCGAAGATGAGCTGGATGGATTGCTGGCCGAGGATTGCCCGTTCTGTGGTCAGCTGATGATCGACACCATCACGAAGCCCTTCCTGGACCCCAATGACGAGGGTCGGCAGTCCCAACGGGCGCTGGAGTGTCCAACGCAAGACAGGATCACACATGAACTCATTAACCATAAGCAATCATAAGCATGTATAAGTCTCTTTTGGGGGCCGGGCATGTGAGAAACATATGTACTGCAGCATTATTTGCACACTTTGAAACATCCATAACCGTAACCGTTTCTTTTTGGGCATGTTCGACATGTGTGCTGCAGCATGAATCATTACCTGCATTGTTTGCATCATTTTGCACCACTTTGAAGTCCAAACACCTATAAACAGAACACATGAGCCTGCGTGCTGCACCTCCATTTGATTCCGCCTGCTGCACCTCCACAGTGCAGTCTCTCTTCAAAATGCGCGCGCGCGCTCAGGCGATGCGGAGGAGATAGAGTCATGGGCCATTTGAGGAGAAAAGTGCTGCCAACCCAGCAGAGGTTGAACCCCAAAAAGGCTATCCGGCTATCCGGCTAGGTACCCCAGGTATTCCGGGCGTTTCCGGGTCCGAACGTTCAGGTCACTTGACATCCGTTGGACGGTCGTTTTGCATGACCGAACTCGTTGAGCACAGCACTCGCAGCGCAGGGGCAGGTGGTGTTTTCGAAGGTTGGAAGATGGGAAACGACCGGTCGGTCCGCGTTTGCGGTGTGCTGACACTCAGTGATGAATCCTATAAGTTTGCAGATGGCATAGGTTATCACAGGGTCAAAGAATTTCACGTGGATGAGCTGCGTCCCTGCTGCGTCCCTGGTCCACCCATATCATTGAAGATCACAGAGCTCATATGGAGATGAAAAGCAATTCGGGTAGGGGGGTTTATGAATCGGCCGTCTACCATTGGACAGATGATTTCCTCGCACTCGAAGGTCCAATGTCATAGCTTTATTTGACGGTGTGACAGGCGGCGCCGTTGGCGAGATGGCGCAACAGGCGCCTTCAAGTTGAACCCATTCCTTCTTTTTCGGGAAGAATCCGACTCCACCAGAGCAATATGTGTGTACTGTGTACAAATAGGGAGACCTCCCAGGCAACGACCCTCTGGAAGAAGGAAACTTAGATTAGTAAGCCAAAACCCATTAGGTTGGGGGGTCTCCCTATTGATATGCACACCCATATGGTTTGTGTATAAGATTTGTGCCAACTTTGTTCTTCCATGCTGCGGACTCAGGCCGCAAAGCAGCACAAGGAAGCGGCTACTTTATCAGAGGCTCCTTCAAAGCTGGTGGGGGTCTTGGGCATGGGGGTGATTCATAGTTTTCGGAAAATGTTGGGGTCTTTGCGTTGTGAACCTACATACTCACCATTTCAAGGCTCATTCATCCAGCTTCTATTCTCAGATATTCTCAGCGTTTCGCAATGCCCTAGGGCTCCAAGATCTCCCTCAAAAGGTAGTTGGAGCCTCAAGACTGTTTTTGCTGGGTGGTGATCTCAGGTGTGTCTATGGTGGATCTTCATTTGGGATGATTGAGCCCACTAGCTAATTACAATAATTCAACTGACTTGAAGCCACCAACCACTTTTGTCCTTTACTCTCCTGTTCTCTGCCATCTCGCTGCTTGAAACTGTCTCAGGCGTTCTGATGCCCGGGCGACTCTACTCACCTCGCCGAGTGACTTCTCAGCAGTCGCTGCAGGCTACGACCCCCGCGAAGCGACTTCTCACAGCGTGAAGTCGCTGCGTGTCGCGCGGCGAGCGGTGGAGCGTGGTTGATCTCCCATGTGGAGGTTTTATCTAAACAGATCTCTATGTATCCCTCATTTGGAATCAGGATCATCTAGCTAGGAGTTTGCTTGGTGGTATGTTTGGTTTGCTCAGGCCGGTTGAAAGATGCTGAACGGTGGATTGGGATTGGAAGGTGATCAAATCCACGGGATATGTTTGGTTGATTCATATTGATTCATTACTGTATTGATTCATTTTGCTGTGGGTCAACTCCTTTCAGACTCTATTCTAATTGATCCACCAACATGAAACAAGGACGGATGTGGATGTCAGAGTTCAGGCGTCATAGCAACAGGAGTCCGCTTGAATGAGAATGAGCGAGCAATAAGAACAAGTGGGCACAGATGAACATGGACCCTGAAAACCACCGAAAACTACTAGGTGGTAGATGAGAATAGAATAGTCTTACAAGGGTGTATTTTCACAGTCCTTGTTAGTCTGCAGGGTGGCAAGCTGCATGGCAAAAATGGTCAGAGCTTCATGTTCCAGTCCCTTGCGCTCAATGTGGGTGGATTTCCTGTTCCTGATGATGTGCAGATGCCTGGTCTCGTTGTACATAGATGTTGTATGAGTTTCTGTGTTTTGTGCAACCGTCAATATGGTCACGTGTAGCAGTCATAAAGCCTTTCATGAAGCCTTCTTCTCAGCCGCGAGAAGGGCTCGGCAGAAGTCTCACCTAGATCCTGCAGAAACGTGCAGGTAGTTTAACGGGCTGTCGCTTCTCAAGTGCGATCACTCAACTAAATCAGAGGATGTTTCTATTTGTAAACCTGCTCAGTGGAGCTGGGTTAGCCACTGCTACTGTAGCTGGATTTGCCTAAGAGGTCAGTGAAAACAGACAGGAGCCACATTGGATCACATGTCGGGGTGCCTTCCCTTGGAGGATAGAGGTTCCCTTGTCACATCCTCTCATTTGGGGACACCTTACCCCTTACCCCCTTTAGTGACTCCTGGAAGTGGCTTTGGGGTCATGTGTCTTCGCTCCTTCGCCCGAACCGGAGTCAGCGAATTCGCCCTTCTTCGTGATGTGTTCAGTGATGTTCTTCACCCACCGGCTGTTGAACAGCAGGGTTCGTCCCCCCGAAAAAATGTAACTATTACATTTATACAGATTTATGCATATATGCAGTATTACATTTGTAGTTCTATATGATCATATATATATATATGCTTTATTTATATTTAGCATTTGCATATACATGTAACCGGATGGAAGTGGGCAATGCTCCTTGGATGACGATGTTCCTCTACAGGGGAAAATTGTCTTCCACGGGCCTATGTTCCACTTGCATGATTGTTTCAGGGAGTCAGGGAGTGTATGCATTGCTTAAGATGCATGCACACATGGTCTTCCTGGAAGTGTTGCCTACTGCCCAACCTTACTCGTGTCAAGATAGGCATCATGCAAAAGGGATATTCGTGACACTGACTTGATTCCACGTGTAGACTGCTGATCAGCAATCCCATGTATAGAAATGGTTTTGCAAAATGGTTTGGCAATATAATCAAAGCATATATATATAATCATATTGAACTACAAATGCGATACTGTATATATTATATATACCAGGACCCACGGTCGGGGTGGTTAATGGACACCCCTTAACCTCCTCTAAGGAGCTATCGAAACCCCTGGCCCGGGTGTCCTGGTATACCAGCATGGTTTTTACATGTTCAACTCTTGACTTGAGACGACCGTTTTTCACTCGACCGTCGACCGGTGTGCCACCACTGTGAACAGTGGCTGTTACAAGCGCATCTACGCAAGCAACCCCCCTTAAGACGTCCGATGCCAGCTGCACTGTAAAGAATCAGACAAGGCATTCACAATGCACAAGACTTGTAGGTGGGCCATCCACGGTTGGATGAAAAGGCTGTACCTGGAGCGAAAGGCTCGACTTGCTCGAAGCCACCGATGAAGCCACGGTGCTGGGGAAGTTTTCGCAGTGGAGAGCAGAGCATAGATGGCCTGACCGACACCTCCTGTACGGTTGGTCGATTAATAGAGGAGATACACCCGGTCGTCTACTACAAATAGGATGAATTTGGTATGTGGTACCAATCCCCGCATGATGAATCACGAAAGGATATCAATGTTTTAGGGGGGTGGTACCGTAGATTTGTTTCCCTAGGGATCCAAGTACCTTCTCAGGTACGGTGATTGGAGACACTGCCATGTGGCCATGTAGGTTTGGAGGGTCCAAGTCTGAGAAGGTATGTGGATCCATAGGGTCGGAAATGGATTTCCCATTGTTTCTCACAAAGGCTGAACAGGTGGACAGAGGTAGACACTCACAGGACTTTTGTCCACACATTCCAGGGGTCAGCTTGCCACTTGGATTGGCAAAAGCCCAGAAAAATGGACCTGCAGATTCCCCAACTGCGAGGTAGAAAAACAGCATATACCCTCTGACTCACTAACATGGAAGTGGAAAACCACCTGTTTGTGGTGGAAAATGCTCTTCCAAGGGGCCATGCCATTCACTTTCATGTTAGTTCCGGGGAGTGTATAGATAGAACCACACAGTTTCCAGAAGACTTTGGTGAGGGTCACTGATTGGAACCGATGTCGTTGTGAGGGTCACTCTCTGTCTGACCTCTCGGCAAGAGTGACCGGCATGGCCCCACCATGGCCCCGGCAATGCCGCATCGTTCCGAAGAGGGGGATTCCTGTTCCATGCTATACATTCCAATCAGACACTGATGCACCCTTAAAATGCTTGGGACCTTCCTTTTGCCGAAGTTCTTTCATGCATTGTGGCTCCCCCCCCCCGAAAAAAAACAAGATGGAGCCCACGAACCCGAATGCAAACACATATGTCAATCCACTGTGTATAGAAAGAGACACAGCCGGTTAGATTATCTTTTTCACACTCCGGTACGCTGTTGGACATCATGCGCTGGGGAATCCACCACCAAGGCAGCATGTGCTGGGGACTTCACCATCAAGCTCCGTCTTCGTCATGAAGGGTCTTCGTGTTGCATTCAAATCAAGCACTGGCCTAAAGGTTCTGGCAAATCCACATCACGAAAGAAACAACGGCATTGTCCCAAAAGCTCGAAAAGAAGCACTTGAAAGTGATAACCGTCCACATAATACAGAGAAATCCGCAACTGCGGCTGTGGGACACTCTTAAGGGACACTCTTGTGAGACACTCTTGTGGGACACTGTTGCGGGACACTCTTGTGGGACACTCTTACGTGACACTCTTGTAGGACACTCTTGTGGGACACTCTGGTAGGACACTCTTGCGGGACACTCTTACGGGACACTCTTGTAGCACACTCTTGTAGGACACTCTTGTGGGACACACTTGTGAGACACTCTTGTGGGACACTCTATAAGGACACTCTTGTGGGACACTTTTGTGGGACACTCTTGTAGGACACTCTTGTGGGACACTCTTGTGGGACACTCTGAGACTCTTGCGGGACACTCTTGTAGGAAACTGTGGGGCACTCTTGTAGGACACTCTTGTGGGACACTCTTATAGGACACTCTTGTGGTACACTCTTAAGGGACACTCTTGTGAGACACTCTTGTGGGACACTGTTGCGGGACTTTCTTGTGGGACACTCTTGTGGGACACTCATACGGGACACTCTTGTGGGACACTCTTGTAGGACACTCTGGTGGGACACTCTTGCACTCTTGTAGGAAACTCTTGTCGGATACTCTTGTAGGA